ACCTACTCCTCGGTGGTTACAAGGTAGGTACTGCTACGTGTATACATGGCGACTGCTGCTGTGTGTACCCGAGGTTGCTCCAGGCGCGGTCGTGACCTCCGCAACTGCTTCCTCCCCTCCCCTCTTCCTTTTATACTCCATCTGACCTGGCTCATTATAGTTTGGTTGTTGGAAGGGGGGCGAGTTTGGGAGTAACGATGGATGACGAATGGCCAATATGGGAATAATAACCCCTCGAGCTGGACAAAGGTGGGAAAAGAAGGGCCATCATGTCGTTATGTCATGGAAATACAAGTATCCAAACTCACTCTGATATAGGACACGCGAGTTCTTACATATGTGTGGTAATAATCCTGCGTTGTTCTCGCTGATCATCATCATGCTTATGAGAAGGTTTGTGTGATGGATCCGAGACTTTGATGGAATAACTGAGAGATTATACTGATTGCAATAATGTGTGGCTAACACTTTGCAAGCTAACATGTGACTTTGGTCCATTTCGGTAAGTTTAGTAGGCATCATTGTCCGTTTGGTCCTATGAGTTGAGCCGACTTTATCAAGCCGAAACAATTCCAATGATTATATAGACACAACGCAGGTAGAACCCATAAAGAAAGGTTTTGCCAAGAGTAAGAGAGATGAAGGTAATACTTAGAGGTAAGCATAATAGCTTTGCTTGCATAAGCCAGGTGCAAGTGGCTCGTACTTTTGCGCGCATGGCTCTCCAATCAACTTCAATTAGAAAACGAAAGTACGCGTAGATATCGAAGAGAGCGGCGATGGGAAACAAGTACGAAAGGTAATCGTGCCCGATGGGAATTGGCAAAATGTACGGATTTTGTTGTTACCCAAATGCGTGGTGTATGATCGAGTGGCTTTATAAAACCACTTCAGCGATTGTGCAACGTTGCTGCCGACTTGTGCACGTTTTTCCAGATGGAAATTGATCGAAATCCTATGTCTCAGTTCGATTCACGTTGTCACGCGAACAATACTATTCAGAGTAGTGTTATGACCGTACCAGCAGATAATTCGATTGGAGTTGGAAATCTTTATCGAGAAACGCGGCGATCGGCAAATATATTAGCAAAAGCGCGGCGTACCTTTGTCTTGAAACCCATGCGAATATGCACCGGATCAATGATAAATAAATCAAACGTTCCTCGTTGCCTGTACAAGTTGCGTAAACGTTTCGTTTCCACGTGAATAAGTATCGGAAAAAACTCGATAACCCAACTAAACGTCTATTTTTCTGGTACAAAGGGACATGAGATCTAAATATATTATACACTGTTTTCTTCACAAAGACTATTAACTGCCACTTTGATTAGAAAGTACTCGTTACGTTACTGTTTGTCGTGCTCTTCATTGTAAAAGACATCACCGATCCGAACAAAAGCCAATCCAAAAGTACCAAAAAAGAAGCAACGGCACGAGCGAAAATTACCCTTGATTAAAGATCCAAAATAATCGTCTGTTTCTTCGTCGAGCGCGACACACGGGAGACACGCAATGAAAATTGATATGCCCACTGGCAAAGGCCACCGAGGAGGAACCAACGAGCGCAAAAAGGTCACGGAAGTATCGTCCTTACCGCGAGGGAAGGAGACACGTTGTCATGGGGTCCTTCAATTTTGCTGGCCAGTCCAAGCAAGCGGATGAAAAAAAAGAAAAAAAAAAGGAAGCCGGACTGGAGAAGGATGGAGAGAGAGAGAGAGAGATGCACGAGGCCAGCGAGGTGTAGGTTTTACTTTCCACCTGACGTCCCGGCGTTGTCGCAAGCAGGAGAAGAAGAAAACAACACCACACGGCATTCTCCTCTCTCCCCCCCCTTTATCCTTCCCGTTCCTCTCCCTGTGCATACACCTGATGCCTGCGACTTTGGTCGCAGCCTGGCGAAACCATAGATGTGCGCTCACTCTTCCTACCCTCGTATACTGTAACATCCCCCCGCGCTCCTCTTGATTCTCTTACCAGGTAGAGACATGCATATATGTATATACTATGTAGCAGCTCCGTGGTGCCGGGCTCGCGGTTACGAGGCTCTTTTATTGTCTCTCCTACCCGAGCTATTTTCGCGGCTCTTGCCGTGTATATACGTATAAGGCTTACGGCTGTCTCTATACATCCGTGTGGGTGTACCGTTTCTGCTTTATTTTTTTTTATTTATTTTTTTTTTTTGTACGAGCTACAGCCGGGCTCAGGACGCGGAGAGAAAATTCCTCTTCTGTACCTTCCTCCCGCCCTCTCCGTTTTATTTTCTCCCGTTGTTATCTTTGCACGCGAAAATGGAATAATTTGCGGGGGGTGAGAGGGCTTTGGAATGCTTATCCCAAGTTTTGTCTCCTTTAAGAAGAAGGTGGTTGTTTTTTTTTTTTTTTTGTATCCAGTACAATGTGTCCTAACTTTGTCTCCAAGATACATGTTTCTCGTTACGAAATTTCGAGTGAAGAGCTTTTAATGGATATCAATCTGTTTGAAGGTTTGCAGTAACCGAAATTCACACAAATTTGATATTGACGAGCATAAACTTGTCGATCGATTGTTAGTACAAAAGCTCGGAAATTATTTACACAGACACAATAATGTAGTTTTTATTGTGTATTTTCTCGTGTTTGCGTAAAATTGACAAGACGGGGTTGAAACTTGAGCGTTACACGTGCAGCGTAACAAAATCTTGCCAGTACTTTGGCGAGTATTAAGCAGACACCCGGAGCTTAGGGAAATTTACTCGGGAAGCCATGGCCCATACGTACAACGCACACGCCTACGTACGTACACAAGAACCATAATTGCACCCACTTTGTCTTGTTCGCAGTTTCGCGGGAGGTTACTTGTACACGACGCACACCCAAGGGTGCAAAACTTAATCATCCATCAAAGTTTTTGCTCGACCCACTTTTTTTTTTTTTTTTTGTTGCCAAAAGCACCGGCGTAAGATGATTACGGGCGTTCCGTAGGGGCCGTCTTTTCGTGTGCCATAATAGGTACGGCATTATGTGGGGTAGGGCGGCCTCGAGCCGCACCCGAAACTTTGATTAATAAAAGATTAATTGGCCCGGAGCCTGCAAGTGCAACTCGCGAAATTTTCCCCCGAGCCGTGCATATACACAGCCCGGCTAACTGAATTTTGCATTTTTAATGCCACGCGCCCGGCGGAACTTTGTTGTGGTTCGTTATGGGGGGAGCTTCGTGTTCACGGCCTCTTGATTTTCTTGCAATTTATCGGGAAGTTTGAAATTCGAATGAATGACGGGATGACCTTTTGTTTTATGAGTATTTTGCCTCCGAGAACTAATTAAACTTGCAACGAAAAAGTTCGGTCTTGAAATTTATGGGAATGCACGTCTTTTTCCGCAAGAAAGTTTTGACGACGTCTACTTACGTCTCGGAAGTTGTTTTCACAAAAATTTTTAACTGCAGAATAATTCAATTATCTCTCGGTTCGAACTTTTACGGAAATACGTGTAATCTATTTTTCGTAAATTTTCCACCCACTATTGCGAAAAATTTCAACAGTCGAGCGACAACTTAATTTTAACTTTTGTGCAGAGTTACGCAATCAATCTGTAAAATTAATCAACGTTACTTATGCCAATTTTTTATTTATGCCACTATTACCCTTATGCCATTTTTGCAAGTTACATATTTTGTTCCTATTTTTTTGACGAATAAAGTAAATCTGATGAGATGTCGTCAACACATTACAAATTACTATACGTTTCACAATAAAAGTGTATACAGCGAAACCTCGGACAGGCTACCTGAAACTCAATTCCAACAGTGAAATTGTTGTCCATAGGCTACGTAACATGATTATAGCACAGAATCGATAAGTGAATTTTACGAAGCTCTTGGAAAACCGTAACCTTATTGTAACACTAATGAAAAGTTAGTGCTTGTTGGTGATTAACAAAATGATGTCGTTGCGTTTTCTACTACCGTCAACCTGATAATAATGCTATCATCGTGTATGTGCACACCAGTATTTATTAATATAGTTTTACTACTAATCCAAAGTCTGAACAAAGTGTGACGAGAAAAAAAAATGTTATACATCGAAAGTACCTACTCAGTACAAACGAAGAGGAAGCCAAAATAAAATTTTGTTACCACAAAACCATTCATCAGCTTGGTGGCTGAAACGTAACTTAATTTATGCATTTATTGGGAACTATGATATTTTGAATATATTTCACGTTTTAAGCAACGTATTTGTGACTGTCGTTTTATTAGAGTTTCCAAAAAGCCACTGAGGCTCTTTGTGTCTTTATCTATTGATAAAGCACCGATTATTATATCATTAACTACAGCTCGCGTATGCTAGACTTTCGTAGAGACGAACGTTATATTTTTGAGTGTGAATGCATTTGCTTTTTTAGTCAGCAACTGTACGGACCATAGTTTTTTTTTTTTCATTAATCTTACAGTACATTACGTTAATATTGACATTACTTGTTTTAACGAAATTTTTTAGTAACTTCGTAAACATTTTTCGTGTATACATACGTAGTTACGAAGTTTCAGTATAACTGGCGTCACTAGTTTTAAAACAACCTTCTGGAATATTCTTGGGATACGTGGCAGCACAAATCAGTTTATTTTATTTTAAAAATCTATAGAAACAAGTGCCTGGACAGTACAATTATCTTTTGATCCAAAGAAAAATAACGTTGAAATAAAAAAGGTGAGTTTCTATTTAATAAGTAAATTACTTTTCAACATTTCGAGAACGTCGACAATTTCATTTCAATATTGACACAGTTGTACCTGAAGCGTTATCCTTTTATTTTAATTTTTTTACTAACCAAAGTTGTTTTCATTCGAATATTATTTTGCTCACCTGGAATAATTAATGGAAAGTAATTCAAACGTCATGTATTATTTGTTGTGACCGATAACCAAAATTTGTTCACAAATTGTTGTTAACTGACAGCACCAACGCTACAAATCCGAGGCTAAAGGAAGAGAGAACAAAGTACGGCACATCTTCGAGAAAAATGGCCGACGGCAGGTATGACAGTAATTACAATGGAAATGCGCTCAATAAGACGCCTGAAAAGCCTTTTACCTGCTCGATATGTTTTCGAGCTTACAAGCGACCGGGCAGTCTCACCAGGCACGCTTTTCTCAAGCACACCAACGAGGAGCCCTTAAGGTGTACCGTGTGCTCGAAAGTTTTCTACCAAAGCAGCCATCTCAGCGTGCACATGCGTACCCACGGCGATGATGCAAGGCCCTACGGTTGCTCCATGTGCTCCAGAACTTACAAGCGGGAGTACCACTTCGAGAACCACATGGTGAAGCACGAGTGGGGCCTGGTCGGTGGGCCCTTCCGTTGCACCGAGTGCCTGCAAACTTTTTCCAACAACAGCCTCCTCACGAAGCACGTGAAAGCCCACCACAGCTACAACTGCGCCCTGTGCCCCCAAACCTTCGTCCGGAGAAGTCATCTGGACTACCACGTGCACCAGAAACACTTGTTCCGTTGTAACGAGTGCCCACTGGTTTTCACCGATTTCAGCGAACTCAAGCACCACAACCACGTCTGTCATTTTTACCGCTGCTCTCTTTGCTCGGTATCTTTCAGTCGGAGCATACATCGCTCGAGGCACATGGCCACTCAACATTGCTTCCGTTGCTACGTGTGTCGAAAAATCAGTGCCACTTACCACGGCCTCTTGAGCCACAGATGCAGTGGATATTATATTTAATTAGCTTTTAATGGTAAAGGTCCAAAGTGAGAATATCCATCAAGTTTTCACAAATATCCAATGATTGTATACTGGCTGTGCTTTGTGAGTTTCATAAAGTTAGCGATAAGGAAGTTGAAGTGCCATTAACAAATGATTTTTATTCAACACCATAACATCAATCTATGATAGACCTACAATAAAATTATTTGGAGTATATGTGGAACATTTTGGGATTAAGCTATATGGTTATGGTAATATTTTATTTTGTTTCAACGACACGTGTATTTTTTAAGTGTTTTAAGATATTACATTTTTGTCAACGACATTTTATTGTTCAAACTATGTAACATAACTCTAAAGTTGAAATTTAACAACTGCAAAACTCAGTAAATTGTATAATGTCCGGTGCCACTCAAAACATTGGGGAGGAAATTACCACAGTCGTATCACCAAATTGAGTGCCATGAGTTTACTAGTAAAATATACATGTCATAATCAACGTTTTAATAGGGAATATAATCTTTTTTCAAAGCATGATTCCTTTTAACACGATTCTTTGGTGTTTTAGATATTTCGTTACAACTATTATTGTATACTAACCCCGATTTGCGTATCAAAGTAGTACTCTTATATGCATTGATTTAATTATAAAATTTTCATTAAGTTAAAATACAGCGTAAACCTAATAAAAATGGTGAATTAAACAAAAGTACTAAGTTTTAGCTTAGAAAACACAAGTTGTACATTCATGTTATTACCAAGCAAAAAGTTTTATTGCAATGTACGTACTGTTACACACGAAGATAATTATTATGAAAAAAAAAAAACAAAAAAAAAACCCACCTCGTAATTTCAAATAAAAAACTTAGCAGCTGTAAAAACCATTAGACACAACATGTAACTATCAGATGAATAAAAATAAGATTATCCTTGGAAATGTGTAAGTCCTCTTCTGTAATTTGATTAAAAATATGATTCAAGTGTACATCCTTACAATGCCAATGATGATTTTTTCACAAGAAGGTTCAAAGTCAACGTCTCGAGCGAAAACAAAGGAAAGATAATGAATTATGAGTGTGCACACTTGGCCAACTCCATCCGAATGCGAACGGCACTTATGGTTCCGTACATGTACGTGCACGCGGCTGAGATTGATCATCGAGCCCAAACTCGTAATTTTCCAAGCGCGCGCTCGCGTGGATGTACCCATCACCTAAGTACTTGGTTGCGCGTGGAACCTCGGCCCGCAAACGGCTTGGAAACACACATACACTCGCACGCGAGCAAGAAAAAAAAAAAAAAATTCAAGTTTTGTTTGGGGTAAAAAATCCACGTGCCCACGTTGCTTGTACCTGGGTGTTCACGAGGGTTATCTCGCGTGTTGGCTCGCAAAGTACTTATACGTGTATACACGATGACGGTGAATTTCAGCCTCTACACGCAAGGACAAAGGGGATACATTATTATGTCGCGGTGACGGTGGTGGTACAGCGCCGTGTTCTTGCGGTTATGAGACTTTAGTCTAATTTATATCCTCTGATATTATCTCGGCGTTATGAGAAAATCGGGGCTACGCCCAGCTGTGGTGATAAAAAATTATCATAGTTTATCCGCGTTGGGGGGAATAACCGTCTAGATGATAATCCTTGTTGCCATGACAATCGCACCGAGTTTTTTATTTTCTCAAAGTTGCAGGGCAGTGAGTATGGGTGTATTTATTTCTGTGGATGAAAATTCAGAGGCCGGTTTAATCTGGTAAATAAAATTTTTTTTCTTTCATGATGCTACGTCAATTTGAGGGTGGATGGGTATAACTTCTTGAATTCCATTAATTATTGTTCGCTCCCAAATGACAAAGTGGTGGAGGAGGAAGTGGATCAGGGGGAGAAGAAAATAGCAGTAGCTGATACGGGGTGTGTATAGAGCCTAAGGCGCTTGATTTATATGGGTTTTTCGAGATGAAGTTTCGGCAAAGGTGAAAGAGAAAGGAAGGGAGGGAAGAACGGGGAAACGGTAGGAGGCTTCGCACCTGTGAGTAATTGCTCCCCAAGAAAGCGAAGCCCTTCATTCTTCTTCTTCTTTTTTTATTTTCGTTTTTTGTTCACGTGTGTCTATCTTTTTTTCCTTTCTAATATTGATGAAGGTGTTAAAATTTGAAAGTTGGATGTACAACAAGTATAGGTATGACTACCCATTTCTATCTTGAGTAAATTTTTTCTAAAAAAACAACAAGTAACTAAAATTTATGAAAAACGACTAAACTTTTGTATACAAGGCAGGAGTAATACGTTTATCAAAAGAGAACAAAGAACAAAATATAATACATACATATATACTAACGTAACAACGTTAGCTACTGTAAAACAAATTTTCTCGTTTAGAGAGTTGGAATTGGAATTTCAGAGAAAAAACTTTTAGGGTTAAACGTATGATGAAAAAAATACATTATTTCAAGCTATAAACGTTTTGAACTTATCGTTTTGCCGTACGTTTGGAATTATAATTTTTTACCGATAAAGGGTTAAAACCAATGTCACGAAAATTATTTTTAGTGCTTACTTGTCTCAGAAAGTATTGGAGAAGTATTGATCACACATCAAAATTTAGTGCATCAAAAGATAGGATAAAAAGATCTTCTTAAACTAAATTTCAGAACTCTAGATCACTCTCAGTAGGTGTGAGTTAAAACGTGTTTTTCAGTTTTTTTTTTTTTTTTTTTTTATTTTCTTGGCTTGGTATGCAAAAAAAATTTGAAAAAAAATTTACAAAAGTGCATTTCTAAATAACATGTGTGCAGAAATTTTTTCCAAATTTATGGAGCCAAATTCAAATTTTAAAGGAAGTTTGAATTTTTAAAAAATTCTAAAAAATCCCTCTTTCAAGTGGTATACCGAAAAAACATTTTTTTATATTACATACATTTTTTGTATTACCCTAAAATTTTTTTAGATTTTTAAAAATGGTAAAAAAGGTCCAAAAAAATAAATTTTGGCTGAAATGGCCGTTTTCTGCTTTTCTATCACTTGTAAAAATTTGAAAAAATTCACAGTAATGTAAGAAAATGGGCTCCTAGTTCAAAAAATTGTTTCGTTATACCACTCAGAAAGGAATTTTTTCTAGAATTTAAAAAAAATTTCTAACGTCTCCGAAAATTCGAATTTGCTAGCAAAAATTTATAACTAGTATTGAAAAGTACATTTTTTTAAGTTAAAAAACAATTTTTTTGCTTACTAGAAGCCGAGAAAAAAAAAAAAAAAAAAAAAACCCAAAAACACGTTTTAACCGATTACCCTAACAGAGAGCGCATGGTCTAAAAACCTGAAAGTAATCATAAAAACATCTTTTTATACTACCTTTCGATCCACAAACTTCAAGTAAAAAAATCGCTTGGGGCACTTATACCCTCTCCTTTGCTAGATTGAACCCTTTTGTGAAATCAGAATAAAAAAACATCATTGATTATGACCTTGATTGTAGAACTGCTGAAAATTGGTTTTCTTTGATCAGCTTCTCTGTTCAAGCATGAGTACATAATGTAACCATCGACGAAAATCGAGCCCAATCAGAAAAAAAACCACCCGAGTTGCAATACGAGTTTACGCACCCATAAAAATACTTGAGCTACACTTGACAAAGACTAAAATATTTTTGATTCCCTCGATAGACCATTCATGTATATACAGTTACGCTTTATTTATCTAGTATGGACAAGGCCCTCTTTTCGAGCAGCCGTGCCCAACAATGCGAAACCTCGTTACTCAAACTGTTCACTCAACAACCATACATAAAACCTTACACGATCGCGATTAAACGTTTCCTCGCACAACCAAGCCAAAAAGTACAACCATCCGAATGCGATGATCAATAAACGCTCAGCGAAATTTTTCCAAATCAACACGCACGCGAGTATAATATAACACGCGCCATGCACCTTTTGGCGTTTATATGGTCCTCCATGAAAACAAGACCAAATGTTGATGAATCGCCGGTGAGCCCCTTCCTTTTAGACGGCACGTGCAATAAATCACAGAAACATCACCCCGTGTAATTGAATCACCCCTGTCTACCCACACACAGGTCCATGACCCGTTTACCCATTATTACACCTTTCCTCGTGTTATATAGGCTCCTCGTCGACATCTTAGGCTCTCTCTCTGATGCCTTCTTCCCACTTCATCAACAGCAGCAACAACAGTATATTATAATGTAGAAGAGTGTAGGCAGCAGCATCGGTATAGCGGCAACGATGTAAGTCGAGCGCGTGTGGGCGTACAGTTTCGGGTATATATATATACTTGTATACGGATCGGACAGTTTCATCGCGCTCACGTGCCGCCGACCCTTTGCCCATGTATACGCGGGGGAGCCCGTACAACAACGAGATACGGGGGAACATATACATGTGCTCCCATTGTCTCCGGGCGTGAGCGCGTGGCTTGTGGATAAGCGGCAAGCAAGGGAAAGAGACGAGGTTGAAAATCGGTATCGCGTTCCGTACACCACAAAATGACCCGGACCCACGTGTGCAGCGTTTATATTGGGCACCGATATAACTTCGATCCGCTTCTTACACGCGTGTTCACGTGCAGTCTGCTTTTATCGGGTTAACCCACGCGTGTATATACCTATGCACGTACAAACCGGTCGTGGTATCTTCTGCTTTGGTTCGAGGGAGTAGATAATACCCCGTGTATATATTTATATGGTCAATGCACGCGCGCACGTACGCGAGATATTTCGAAAAACACGAGTCTTATACTTATCTCTGGCTTGATCAAACGAGCCACGGTTAATCGATATACTTTTGCTCTTTTTACAATATTAGGGGCTAATGTACGGTCATTTTATCGGAACATTTTATTCGCGAGGTGAATGTCTGCTAAAGTTATGGAACAAAATTAATTTGCCATACAACGATTCGCTTGCTGTATTTGACAATGTAATTTTCGAAACTTTTGAAGAGCTGGTGACGTTGGTTACAGTCTGTAGGTGAGCGTGAGCGTGTTTGAGTACAGGTA